AGAATATAAACTGATCGTGAGTTGATAGTAGCAAATTCAAACTCTATATCTATATAAAGCAAAAATACAGGATAATGAATAATATAGTTAAGAATTATATATCATATATGTTCTCCATTGTTTAATTTAGCACATATAAAGTAGGCAGGCGAAGAGAATTGTATGTAAATGGACTATTTGGAAAATGTGATATCCAACGGTTTAAGAAGTTGAATCAAATTTAACAAAAGCAATGTCAAATATTACTGTTGAATGGATTGGTGTCACAATAAGCCTATTCACAATGTGATTGCTAACACAATTTCTCCTATTAACGTATTTTGATACTCATAAAATATATAACCTTGATCTTCACTAAATCACACAAAATTGCCAAATTCACCAAAGAACCGTACCTCAAAGAAGCAGAAAATAGGAAGACCTTATGTGAGCTTATGGTCATAACTATGCCTCTGTTTATCCGTGTGGGCGTGTGTGTTTTATGTGTCACAAATTTGATTAGGAAATATTTTTAAATTGAATCCTATCCCTCCTTACTCTACTTTCTAGAAAAACTAGAACAAAATAAATTGCTCCACTTCCTAATAAAAAATTCAACACAAAGGTAATAAAATTTAAAATAAAGGTAACAATTAATAGTTAACAAACTTCAACACTAAGGTAATAATGCTTAGCTCAATGTGACAAAAAAGAAAAAAAATCAAAACAAACGTAATGTAGTTTCTTTTCTACCAATATGCTTCTAGTTTTCACCAAATTTTCAATATCCACTAACGGCCTATAGTCCATACAAATCTTCTCATATCCAAAATCAAGTTAATTCATTTAGACCTCACATTGAACTGATTTTTCATCAATTTTCCTCATCTTATATCTATGTCCCAATCTCTGCCTAATCTAATCTAATCTAACTTTCCAATATCAACATGAAACAATCCAATTTATAAAAAAAAGTTCTTAAATAATTTTATTCACTCAATTCAAAGGGGAAAACACCAATGCAGAAAATAACAGATCACTTTGTAGAGATAAGCTCACTTAGATCAAATCAAAACAGATCAAGATTCAGGAAATTGCAGAAACACTCAAAATTACAACAAACTACTAGCACTTAAATATGAGAAGAACAGGTTTTGCGATTTGGAATCTATTGACGAGAAAGAGTCGGATCTAATGGAAGCGATGGAGGCCACAAGCTCAATCCAAAAGCGGGAGGATCTTCACGATCTCGCGAACGACCACCTCCTTTGCCTCGATCTCCTCCATTTTTGGATCGATCTGACATGGACAAAGCATAAGAAGAGATTAGAGTAACATCAAAACCTAGAAAACTCACCATAACGATTTGCTCATATCCTGAGCACCGATTCTCCATCTCTTTGTGCTTCGATCCAGCTTCCGCGCTCTTTCGGTTGATTCCTCTCTTTATCGAACAGATAGAGCTAAGCTTTCCAAAATCGAGCGAACCTAAGCGAGAAACCATAAAATCATCAAATTGATGACAGATCTAAGAAATATAGAGGTTGAGGACGGCGTCTTCATCATCTTCGCCGGTAGTGAACGTGACCTCCTCGATCTTGATGAATGGAGTGATCTGAGCTCCGATGAATGCGGCGTGGTGAGCTCATCGTCATCTCCTTGATCGTCATCGGAGCTCGCCATGGCGATACTTTGAGAGATAGATTGCAGAGAATGAGAATGAAGAGAGGATGAGAGAAAAAGAGGGACCGTTGGAGTTCATGCTTAGCATTAGAGCTTCATATATAAAGAGAGATAAGATGTGAGAGGAGAGAGGCAAGCGGATTAATTTTAATTCCATAGGGATAAGGAGAACGGTTTAGAGAGTCTAGAAGAAATAGGTGAGTAGTTAGCAGAAGAAGAGACAAAGGGATAGAGAAATAAGGGTTTTAATTGATCATATTTCATTTAATATATATTAAATATTTTAATTAATTTAATTTAAATTAAAATTAGATGAGAATTATAAACATTGTAAAGGGCAAAGTAGACATTCAAAAGACACTCATTCTCTCTTTTATAAGTATTATAGATTATATTTAATGATACAAATATGTTAGGATATTCCCTCATCACATCCAGTTATCATCTCTTGATCCGAGAAAAGAAATTATGGTAGAAAAAGTATAGGAATAAGAGAACTCAAAAGGGAAAGCAAGAGATATAGAGAGATTTGAGTGAGGATAGATAAAGATAGGAGTTGTAGAAGAGAGATTAGCAAGTGGATGAATAATTTAACTAGAGATAGATTAACTCCATTCATTCATAAGAAGAATACAATTTCCTTCTTTCTACATATATAGACACACTATAAATTACTTTTCTAACTATTCTCTTTAAACCACTACTATATTAACATTTAGTTATTAAATTGCTGCCACATCTTCATATCGGGTCAATCGCCCTTATTTGGGTCAAGATCTGACAGTCCTTCCCACTTAACAAGGGACTCATCCTCGAGCCCAAATGATGACAAGCTCCAATCTCATCCTCCATCACTTTCAACATCAAATGTTACTTCCTTCAAAATGAATCGTTGGTTGAGAACATGTTTTTTTCAGTATGGAGTAAAAATCCAAAAGTTGATAGACGTAGTAATTCAACTAGAAGATGTTCGTTACAGTGAATAGAGAAAAATCTGGCTGACACCTTCGATGTTGGTCCCAAGCTTGTCATCACGGTAGTTGAACATGAAAATGGGGGATGGTATCTTGGTTAGAGGTAAGGGTGTGTCCAGAGAGAGCTTCGGAGGAGAATCTTACTTGTGATTCCTTGGCCTTGTCAAGGACTATCTCACCAACCTGTCGTGTCAGTCCATTGATTAGGGTAGACAATTCTGTATCATCCGTGATAAATCATTGACCATTTTGTCAACCATCTTTAGTTATGCTCCTTGCTGATCCATGGTGTCTTCTCATCGATCATCTTTAGGTATGCTCCCACATTTTAATATTGGGTTGGTTGGCCTTATTTGGGTCAAGATATGACATGTGTCGTGGCTTGCGACACTTTTTATATGGTGTGACGTTTAATTCTTTGCAATTAAAATGACACTTCTATATGTGTCATAAAATAAGTGTGGACACATGCAACTTTTGTTGTAGTAGTTGCATGATGGTAAGCGTGGATTTCTCGCCTTATGGCGTCAATGTGGTTACTCTTTGATCGTTGATCGAGAAAGTCTATATGGCAGGGTTAACAACAAAGCATCTCCTTGTAAGTAAAATCTAATATGATGATTTATATTTCATAGCAAGCATGCGAAGACTATTTTTCTTCTATCGTATTATCTGCACATTATTGTTAAGTAGATCTTTTTTATTATTGCTCTAGATGCTAGATCACTAGAAGTCTACATGTACTAAGGTTCAGCTGAGCATCAGAAAGATCCCAAATGTGAGCTACTTCTTGGTAATTGTGCGAATAGTAGTGGCCACATGAATCCATGGGAATGAAGCCCACTAGGGCCAATAACACAGTGCTCTTGATGCACAACATGAGAGATTGAGAAGGGAAAGTTTGAAGCGTTTGAAGGATTCGATGTCTTATGTCATGGTGAAGGAGGTAGTCAGAGATTCCGTGCTTCTCGATTGTAGAAGAGAAGTAAGAAAGAGGAAGTAGGGGACCCATATTAGTTGGTGATTTGCAATTATACTTTGGACCAGACCAATATAGATAGAGGAGATGAAAAATTATTGTTGTTTAGAGTTTTGATGATTAAAATTAATCCTATTCTCTCAAATCTTCCTAAATTTGTTTTCTCTAGCCATATATTACCAAGCGGCCCATCCTCACTCCTCTCTTCATATGCTTCATGCAGTAGAGGAGCCAGGAAATTTGATAAGGGTAGCAAATTAATTAATAATTGAATATGATAATATATAATTTTTGGTGTGGTTGATTAATATCTAAATATAATTGCATAACAAGACTTTCAAAATAAAGGTTCAAATTTAATATAGTGCTTACAATACCAGTAGATAGAGTTGTTAGAAATTCAAATATTTATAATTGAGATTTGTTTTCTTACGATATTAGATTTGACTTTATCTATTTGTTATTTTTCTAGAGTTTAATTGTTTAATATTTCAATGATTAACTGAGATAAGGTAGTAATGTTCAACTTTAAGAAACAATAGGCTATTCAAATGATAAGAAAAAAGATACATTACATAAGTGCAAAGTCATATAAACAATTAGGGAATTTAAATGTCAAGAAAAGAGACAGGGTATATAAGTGCAAATCATTAAAACTATAAGGTATTTAAATGCTATTTATCCAAAGAAAACAGAGAAAAAAATTCCCAAAACCTGAGCCTTTTTTTAAAGAGTTATTTTTAGTCCCATGTGAACTCTGCTACTTTTCTCATCTACTAAAAGACAAAACCCATATAAGTCTTTTCCCAAAACACCAAACACAAAATGAGTACACTATTGGTCATTCTCTTCCTCTCTTTGATTGAAGAAAACCCATTAAGCAATTTTTAATTTCTTTCTCAGATTGAATTCAAATTAGTTTCTAAGTTTTTTCAGTTTCTTTTGCATCATTTAAGGATACATGTTCTTATATTTTATCCTATATGACTTTATTGTATCAATTGCCCTTTATATTCACTCTATAATCTCATTTTATTCATAGGGGTAGGGGCAATGGCATATTTGGCCTCATATAGATTGGCGGGACGTGGCCTCTTTGGCCCCTATATATCGATCTGCCCCTGACTTTATGGCAATGTTAGGGTTTCTCCAGATTTACTTCTTGATGCAGTGCGTTACTCTGAAAAACGATTACATAAACTTGTTACATTTGTCATGTATTCTTACAGTAATACTAGATTGTTTCGTAGATTTAATTTTAATGATGATATTCCACATATCAGAGAAATAGCATGTTTGCTTGATCAGTATAATATCTATTGGACAATCATGATATCCTGTTGGGTTCTTGAAGTTTAAGTTAATTCTCTTTGACCTTTATGCAGCTGGAATGCTTTGGAATGGAGAGCCCCGTGAAGTGAAAGAATTAGAGGAGAATATGGAAGCATACTTCAACATGCTTCAGGGGTTCCTTTTGACATGTCATGGGAGTACTGTCAATGCTGGACCCACCCTCCATGAAAGAATACATAGCTCTGCCAAACAAGTCGTGGATTCCAGTCTTTCGTTATTAAAAGAGGCTGTTTCAATATACGGTGAGCACATATTTCTGTTTGAATTGATTTCTATGCCTTCTTAGTTTCATTTGTTTAAGTTTCATGTCTCTATCCAAGTTTTCAAGCTCTTAAATATCTTTGATGTATTCATGTTTGATTCATGTGTATAATACTATGCTAGCAAGAAATGTTCCCTTGATGCTTCTCTTATCTCTTTTGGACTTTATCAATACTGTATGTGCATGCATGTTACTGAGTTTTGTTATATTTAGATAAAAAAATTTTGAATGCTAAAATTTTAATACAACATTTTGACAGCTAGATAAGATTATACACATTCAATCGGATCTTAAGTCGAGTATTTATTCCATTTTTTATGTTTCAAATGTATATAGCTACTTTTTTTCAAGTGTATTTATTCCTAAAAAAAAGTGTATATAGCTACTTAGTTGGCTACTGTAGATAAAACTAAACCAAGAATAGATGTTTCAATTTAGTTTCTAGAGTTTGGGAAATTTTTTTTCCAGTAGAAGTCAATTTTGTTCCTTTCTAGGAATTCTCTGGATACTAGAAAAAGATCACTATCCTTTCATGGGTTTGTTTTTGTTTTGTTTTGCTTTTGTTTTTGTTTTGTTTTGTTTTATATTGTTTTCTTATAATCCCGTCTCGAATCGAGCCCAAGACCGTGGGAGCCATATTGGAACTTCCCAGCCGTTTGGGTCACCTGTGGTGGGTTTATTTATTTATTTTGGTTGATAACCCCGTCCGAAATTGAACCCAAAGACCGTGGGGGCCATATTGGAACGCCCTAGCCATTTGGGTCACCTGCAGTGGGTCTTTCATGGGTTTGTTTGGTTCAACATCTATCATCAAAGTAAAAGATATCCAGCAGTTGGCAGCTCTTCAAGACCCAATTAGTTTATTCTGTCAGTTTAATGACATACTGATTTCGGAAGCACAAATTGAATTTGCTATAAATTGTTGCAGAAAACACAGTAGTTTATATCCTAGAATCTTGTATCAGCTTATATGAATCTTCTTCATAATATATCCCCCTCTGTGAAGCCAGCTTCTCGTTGAAATTATTTAAAGAGCAATCCCTTCTGTCAATTAGTGGTCATCTTACCCATTTTCTTTTACTTTCTCAAGCCGCTTATTCATATTTAAATCTGGTCTTAATGACTCAGATGAGAGAAGATTACTTGGATAACGTAAGAGAAAATAAATTAGGATAGTGATAAAGATTATAATTAAAGGAGAAAGGAGGACCAGAAAGCCGATTAGATTGTCATATCTTTCTATTCTAGTCCTAAATGCCAGTGATACTATGATAATTAATGGTGAAATGAGGACTACAGACGGGCCAAGAGAACTTGGGTAGAATCTGTTAACCTATGATAAGGATTAACCTAGCATTGAAGATAACCCTCAAAAAACCTGAGTGGAAGTAGCGGACCCCAGAAATTTGGAATAAAGGCTTTATTGTTGTTGCTGCTGTAATGCCGAAATAAATTAACAATGGTGTTGTTACAACATAGGAAAGCTTTATACGCGACATCTAATGACCTCAATGTTCTTGTCAGTCACTGAAAATTTACCTTATATGCATAATTAACTACTGTAGCATAAACAGCTGGTTATAAATAAAATAATATATGAAGTGCCAAACCATATAATTGCTCCACGAAAAAGATTAGTGTAAAGTTCCTGGATTCTTTAAACTTTGGTCCATGCACACTACACATCAACTACTTTCTTACATATGATTTTTTTTTTTACTATTTTGTTGCTTCTTTAGATTCTGGTGAACCCAGCAAAAGATTGATTATTCCTCAGCTAGCTGGCTCAGTATGGGAAGCATGCACTGCCCTCAAAAAGACCCCAACAACAAATTGCACAGCTATCGTGAGGGCTATTACTCTGGTTGCTGTCTCGGTGAAGGACGTCCTTCGAGAGATGAAAGAACTCAAAACTGAGTCAAATACCGACGTTAATGATCAAGAAGAAGAAATGGATGATGCTTTGAGTGATGATGGTCTTGGTGACGACCTCTCCGCCGAAGAAATGATCATTGCACAACTAGTCATTAATGTCACGTACACTTCACTGAATGCATTGAAAGAAGTAATCCAGTTCTTATCAGGCTTGCTTAAAAACCCAAACGTAGAACTCGATAAAAAGGATTCTGTCGACCTCTTGGAGAGATTGCTAGGCTATTGCAAGGAGATTGGCTCTCAAGTTAGTGAGCTTGGAGCTTGCGTTTACCCTCCACAGGAGATTTCAGATATGAAGATGATAGCCAAGAAGATTGCTCATGGAGTTGGGGAGATTAGAGGAGATGTTGAAAGGATAGAGAGCTCCAATGAGAAATTGTTCGTTGCTTTCCAAGCTTTGGAGACTGCATTAGGGAAACTGGATGGGTTGGATGGCGATCTAGAGTTTGAAATGCACAGGCTTGCGTTAAAGTAAAAATTCTAAGTGTTTGGGTTGATTTTTGTAGTGTGATTGTGGTGATGCTGTGAGATTAAATTTAGTGGCTGGAAGGAAATATGTATGCAAGGTGTATTTATGTTTTAGTTAAATTATTATTTTGAACTTTTGGCTTGTTGATGCTCGGTCGATGACATCAGTGTTCAGTGAGCTGACAGTACTTTGTTCCTGTTGCTCAGGTATGCGTCAAAGAAGATTGCTAAATATGAAGGGCGTATACTGTGTTGTTCTACTGTATTTCATCATTTGTTTGTGTTCTTGTAACTGGAAAAGAAAAATTACAGTAAGAAAGCTGATATTTGTAGGGAGTGCAGATCCCGTTGGGCAAATGCTTCTTTTAGGCGGAAACTAAAAGACCTCGTTTTATATATATAATGAGATTTTTTTCTAATCCCTCCTTTATATATAAAGAGAAATTGGTGAAACTTCTAAATGCAAAAAACAAAAATAAAAATAAAAAAATAAAATAAAAAAGAAAAGAAAAAATAGAAAATAAAAATGACATGTGTCATATCATAAATTCATAAAACTGACATATGTTATATCATAATTACCCACTTGTTTCTTTATCCTATCAGAAGATGACATGTAGGCACCTAATCTTATATTCACCCAAGAATCCTCATCCTCATAAAGTTAAAACTTTTCCATAATTAGAAAATTCTAATAACTAAATATTTTATAATCTTTATCATATTTATTTCATAAATAATTCTTATCATAATATAACTATTCATAATTAAAAAAATATGTATTTCCTCCTTGACGCCTCTAAAATCACATGATTGAGCGACATTGTGGATGATCCGCTCCGTTGAACTTGATCTACATATTCTAAAACCCCAACACACCAAGTTTGGGGTGAATCCGTCGTCGTTTGACCCTCCATCGAGCCATGTAAAAAGTTCTATTCATTCAAAACCGTTAAAATTGATACGAGTGGATGAAGGGTCAAACGATGACGGGTTCACCCCAAACTTGGTGTGTTGGGGTTTTAGAATATGTAGATCAAGTTCAACGGAGCGGATCATCCACAATGTCGCTCAATCATGTGATTTTAGAGGCGTCAAGGAGGAAATCCCCTCCCATGACAAGGATACCCATTAATCTCTCTCTCTCTCTCTCTATATATATATATGAAAAATATGGGCATGTTTGGTACCAAGCACAAATTTTGTGCTTGGTAGTGATGTGTCACATCCCCATCTACTCATTACCCATGTGAAGAACTTTTAATGCACAAAAATTAATAGGTGTCATATCATAAAGGCATAAAAAGCTGATATGTGCCATATCATAAGTACTAACGTGTCCCTCTAACCTATCAAAAGATAACAGGTAGACATCTAATTTTATATTCACCTAAAAATCCTCTTCAAATTGAAAATATTCCTAATTAGAAGATTCTAATAATGAATTATTTTAATGTCCTTATCACATTATAACTATCCATAATTAAAAAAAATCTCATAACTATATATTTAAATATATAAATTCAAGAAAAAACTCACGTAGAGAATCTCTCTATATAAAACCACATGCTAATTTTAGAATACCCCCATCAATTTTTGAAATTTAAGATAATCCCCCGAACTTTTTTCACTTAACCCCCATCAAATAGGGTGTGTCTCAAACAACCCTCCTCATCTATTTTAATTTGAGAAATCATCTCAAGTTTGAGCTTGTTGCACGTAAACCCCCTCAGGTTTGAAAATTCGAGAAAATACAATGAACTCCTCTCTCTTTACACGCTGAAAGCTAGCACCGCTAGGTCTAGCATGTCATATGACAAATAGACGAATGAGAAAAGACCAAAATATCTCTCAATCATAAAAGATTACTCCGATTTTTTAGAATAAGGAAAAAAGAGAAGAAAGAGGAGAAAAACATAGTAAATTGATTGAGATCTTTTTTATATCGGTCATGAGTTTCTAACTAAATGAGTTAATTTTTAAAAGGATATTTTAGTTTTTTACATTTTGAAATGACATGGGGGCAGGAGGTGGGTGTTATGAGATGCCCTATACTTGGGTATTTTTCTCTAATTTTTAAAGTTGAGTGTGATTGTAAGGCCAATTTTTTGATTAAATAATATATTTAATTAATAATTTTTTTACAAAATAAATATTTATTCTACTCGATATGATGAAATTGCCTAAATTATAACTTTATTAGAATGAGATTTATGAATCAATCATGAATTAAATGTAAATTGAACAAAATTGTAAAGGGAATTTGCATATATAACCCATAGAGAGTTATAAAAGTATGGAAATAAGTTAGTCGGTTGTTTTGAAAATAGACCTATAGCCTATATAAACCCAAAAATTAGGGTTCCTTTTCTTTTTCTCAAAACATATTTTTCTTGGGAGCAGAAGTTCTATAGGAGAGGAAGGCCATAGAGGGGAGAATCACAGTAGAAGAACTCGATCTTCTTCTCAGATGAGGGTTCTATCAACTTGTTCTAATTTGGGGAATTATCTTTTGTTATCTCTCTCGATTGTTTTTGATTGGATCTATCAAAACCCTAGAAAATGCATGCTTAAGTCTTTAGGGTTTCTTTCTGATGTTATTCCTATAGTTTTGGAGTAGTTTTGATAAGATTAAATTAGGTTTAATCCAAGACAATTGTTAAAAACATGAAAAGGTACAGCTTTTTGATTAAAATAAACCCTAGTTCTTGTAGTTTTCTTGAAGTTTGACCTTATAAGCATGGTAGAAATGTGTCGAAACCATGCATATATATTTCCCAATGTTGTTTGTGAGAGTCACGAGACGAGGCAAAATTATGAAGAATGAGGCAAGTTGGATAGAGAATAGTAGTAGAATCAACGACCAGACTCTAGTGGCGATATCAGACGTCTGATTTTAGATCAGAAATCTAATGCTCCGACACTAAACATCTAAATATAGATTTAAACATCTAGTTTGGGTAGGTAGACACTTGAATTTGGTTCCCAGAAATAGTGTTTATAATTTTTTTTATATAAAGACGTCTGGTTTTAAGTTTCAAGTGTCTGGTTTTGTTCTTAGACTTCCAATTTGAGGTTTTAGACATCTGATTTCTTATAGATTCATAATTAACTCTCTAATGTTGTAATTAGTGATCTAAAAGGATTAATTAGTTGGTTTAGCTTATGGCCTTCTTGTTTTGATGTTGATTTACAAACAATTTATATCTAATATTGTTTGTCTAGTGTTTGTGCTTTATATTTATTCTAGGTAAACAATATGTTGGAGGATGGATGGAATCGAACATTCACGATTATATTAAATGGAGGTTGGCGGAATTGTGGAGTGAAGCCATAAATTTCAAGTTGAAGATCCAAGTTCAAGCTTCATCCGCAAGTTTACCAAGTTGAGCTACAATGAAGATCAAGATCAAGCTTGGGTAATTTAGTTTAGGCGTTATATTATGTGTGTTAAGTACGTTAAGCTCAATATCATATACACACATATTTTATTGGTTTCTTTGTATATATATGTAGTCATATATATATACAACACAAGAGTGGAAATGAAGCCTTCACAGCCGACAGAGAACCGGCCTTCACCACCAAGAGTGGAAATGAGTACCGGTACAGATACCCGGAAGCTTCTGACCCGAATACCAAAACTCTATCTGAGATGGGGATGGTTTCAACTCCTCCTAAGCCTTCTGAGAAGCCCTTACAACAACTATTTACCAAATGAAAGGAGAAAGAATCCCAGCACAAAGAGGTTTGAAATCCGAAGCAGTCTCGTTTCAATCGTCCGATTGGATAGACATACCGAAGAGCTCGAACACTCCATACCGCTTCGATGTTATGGCTCAACTGGCCAACATCCCAGCCAGGATAACTCTATATGAGTTATTGTGTCTTTCCAAAGACACCAAGGATGCTTTACAAGAAGCTTTGGCTGATTCTGATATGTTCCTTACTCAGATTGAGCAAGCCCCTGAAGAGCTAGAGCCATCAGTTCAACACTGCAATCTCACGGTGAAATAGTTCCCTTGCATTACCTTCACCAGGGATGACATGCAAGTGAGAAACTCAAAGCATGATAGACCTTTGTATTTCACCGAATACATTAGCTCAAGTGTTGTCAACCGGATCCAAGTTGATTCGGGTTCCGTAGTCAGCATCTTGCCACTCCAATTGATGTATCATCTTGGAATTCACACCAACAAGTTGGCTTCTATAGGCACTATTATCTATAGATTCAACACCAGTGGATTCAGGCCACTAGGTAAGATCTAAGTGAAGTGCTAACTTGGAGATTTAAAGTCTGAAGTCACATGCTATGTGATTGACGCAGAAACCTCCTATAACTTACTATTGGGTTGACTTTGGATCCATAGTAATGTTATAGTACATTCCATCCTCCATCAGTGTCTAAAATATGTGGACACGAATAATGAGGTCAAGATAGTGGTCGTAGATAAGCAACCATTTAAGAGGTTTGAATATTATTTTACCGACTCCCTTCTATACGGTGTTGAATCCGATACTAAACCATCGGCCTAAGATAAGAACAACAAAGAGGAAGCTAATACCGAAGCCGGGCTTAATTATGACGATGGTCTTGTATTAAATAACATTGAACCTTTTGTAATCAATCTTGATGGTGGTGAATCGTCAGATGGAAGTTGTAACTGACAACTTGCCGATCATGCAATAAATGACAATTTAGAGTATTCTCCTTGTCTTGATGTTGTAATGCAGGGGGTGTATAATAACCCTGACATACACATGCCACTTTGATCATCTTGAATAACAAAGAAGTGTGTCCAAGACTCCTTCAGAATAACTCTTATCCTTCGTGAAGAGTGACAACGATGATTAAAGACCTAGTCGCCATTTATTCAGATACAGCTCACAAGCACGTAACTACATGAAGAAATAAGGATACAACTTCACGCTTAAGGAAGGACTTTACTTTGGTCGAGGCCTTTGAGTTCCAACCCAACCTGCCTATGTACCAAAGGGGAAACCTAATAATTATTACGAATACAGAAGAGGCCTAGGATATACTTCTTCATCCTCTGACAAATGCTATTGGTAGGTTTATGACCAATCATCCAACCCGAACAGAGAGGGATACTCATCAGATTCTTCGGATTATGACTCTGCTGTTAGCCTTGGAGAAATATTCAATGGTTTAATGTCAAATATGGCCACAGTCGATCCTGCAACGATATAGGAAGACGATCAGTTACCAACTTAGGAAGATCCTTGGATCCCTCACT